TAATGAAATTGGCTTCATTTTTGGTACTATGAGAATACTAAAAATTGGAAGGATTTTTGGGAGAAAGTACTGAAGTATGGAATTTAAAGGAAATCAGATGAGACAGAGATTTTAGCAATCATCATTATATCAATGTAAATTCTATCTTTTCTAAAGCAAGAAAGCATCTTCTGAAGTGAACCTGTAAAGAGAAAAACAAAACTGATGCCAATCATTCTTTTGAAGAGGGCTCAGAAAGGATTTTTAACACTTTTTTTACTTTTTTAACATTTAAAAAATGCAGATTCTATCTGTGAAGGCATTGATAATGTTAAAACAGATTAAATCATATTGAGGGAGATCAGAGAATGAAAATGAAGAAACATGAAAGGAAGAGAATTTTATTCAGTCTGTGGAGAATGCTTTTCCCTTCAGAATTATTTAAATACAATATTTTTTTTTTTTGGATGGGAGTGTAATTCATGTCACATACCTACCAGCTATTTGATAAAAATATTTGATGTAATCTAATATACCACTGGAGTCCTTTAGTAGAAAGGAAAGGAAAACTCAAGGTGACACTTGTGAGAGTCCAAAAAAGGGGTACATGACACACAGCCTTCTCCCCAAATCCTTGATTCTTCCTAAATGGAGAGGTCTACTGAATCAGCTCAAAGTTGAATCTAGTTTCACTACCTGTTTCACAAGTAAGGGCCAAAGATGCTTAGCAACAGCAAAGCAGGTAAACTGCACAATCTCATAATCCATAGAATCATAGAATGGTTTGGCTTGGAATGGATCTTAGCCATCATCTGGTTTCAACCTCCTGCCATGGGCAGGGACACTTTCCACTAGACCAGGTTGCTCAAAGCCCCATCCAACCTGGCCTTGAACATTGCCAGAAGTGGAGCATCCACAGCTTCTCTGGGCACCCTTTGCTAGTGTCTCACCACTCTCACACTACGTTTCTTCCTGATATCAGATCTAAACTGGTTCCCTTTCAGTTCAAAGCCATTTCCCCTTGTTCATGCTCATGCTGGACATCAGGAAGAATTTTTTCACTGAAAGGGTGGTTAACCATTGGAACCGGCTGCCCAGGGCAGTGGTGAAGGTACCATCCCCAGAAGTGTTTAAGAAATGACTGAACATGGCACTTGGGACTGTGGTTTAGTTGGCATGGTGGTGTTCATTCAAAGGCTGGACTCAAATGATCTTGGAGGTCTTTTCCAACCTTACTGATTCTATGATTCTAGATGAAGCAATCTGGCCAGCGGGCTCCATGATAAAAACCACCCTCCCACTGTTCCCCACAGGCACACAAGAGACTGATTCATGGACTCTGATGGGGACCTGGTTTCAGAGTCCACTAAGTCCATTACTTCTTTAGTAAAATGGACAAAAATGACCAAAGGATGGAGTGTCATAATCTGCTCAGTAACCAGCCACGGGGGACTTCATTACACCATGTGTATAACCTATGAACTTGTATACTGGGACACTTCCACCACCTTGTATGTCTTACTCTTTAGATATCAAATTAATTTTTGAATATGGAAATTTTGTTCACCTGTAGGTACCTTTTTCAGTGTTGTCAAGGGAGACTGCATTAAATAGTCTGAAAACTCAGTAAGACGTAGGCAAAGTTTACAGCACTTGGAGAAGAGAGTCAGAGGAGGAAATTGCTGCTTTGGTGTAGTCTAAAAAAACACCAACAGCCCAACAGGGATACCTCTAGGGCTTCCATTTTCCTTAAACATGAGGATCAACTCCTGTAAACCATAGACAGAACAAGTGGTTTGGGAGGAAACAAAATTGAGATAAGTAGGAAGTCAAGGGGCAGTGTCACATGTATCTAACGTGGAAATAAATAGACGTCAAACCACAAAGGCAGACCTATCCAAAATCCTTAAAAACAATCCATACTTTAAGCACAAATTCAAATCTAAAAAAATCAAGTAATTTAATAAAAAGAAGGAAGTGGACATTTTTCTCTCTTTATCTCTTAAATAGCTGAAGAAGCACCATACCAAGGCTAAGAGTCCCTGCAGCACTTAAATCAGGTGCTATAAATTAGTGGTGTGACAACAGTAATGCACTTTATTTCAGAGATTATCCTGTCACAAGTACCTTGATGAGGTAATTAATTCACGTGCTGAGCAATTGACCCAAATTTTTAGGGGTAATCTGCTCAGTAATCTCCTAAATAACTCAAGGCACACATTTGTAGCAGGGATTTCAACGCCTGTACTTCTTTATTAGTTAGGCCATAAGATGAAATGTTCTGGTCACAGTAATCCTCATTAATAAGAAAGTATTTTCTACTGAGACCCACCAAGACTGTGTGTGTGTATGTGTGGGAGTGTGTGTGCGCCAGGTGAGTGCACTTGAAGCCAATTTTATTTCTTTTTCACTCTCCATAACATTCATTGCTGACATTTTTATATAACTCCAAGTTCTTCCCTTATGCTACACCCGTCTGTATCAATGCTGTACACAATAAGTGGGATTAATCTGCTCTGAACAAGGCATGTGAAAAGTGGGACATCTGGTTCAGAGCTAGGCACCCTGTGAATCCTCTATGGGCAGCAGAGAAAAAATGGCATATCCAAGGGATGATTCATCTCATTGGAAGAGCACCATGAGGTCAGTTTGATGACTCATTCCGTGGAGATACTTATTTTTCTCTTGTGACTGCAAAGAAAGCCCAAAATGGTCAGCTCCAAGTTGACATCTGACCTAGTTCATGAAAGAGGACTGCCACATGATATTTTTAAAATACTGTAATATTTATGTCAAATGGCCACACAGCTGCAGCACTACACTAGACTTTTGGATTCTTGCTGCATAAGAGCAGAAGTGTGTTTTTGTCACTGTACAGAATTTAACAGTCCACACACACCTCTTTTGGACATCTCTTATTTTCAAATTCTTCTTCATAAAGCAACTGACATATTGTAACCAATTATGCAGGACTGTGGAACAGCAGTGGAAAAAAATGCACGAAAAACATTCCTCAGATCAATTCAAATACAGATCAATTCAAATTTCCTTGAAAAAGGGAAGGTCATTTCAGAATTTCCATGCTTAGCAATCTTAGGCATATACATGAGTAAAGGAAGAACATTATCCATCTGTTCACAGCAAGTTTGCAAAGAATTTTAATAAGACATATTAATGCTAATAATGGTCAATGATGTTTATAAAATAAACAATGGGGAACATATGGAAAGCTTGTAAAACTTTTTCTTATAAAATCCACAGTGTAACACCTTTCCCTGAGGATGCTTTTTGCTGACCTTGTCCTCCTAGGCCAGATATGTCAGAAAATTTCTTCTTACAGACTCTGCTGTTACTGTGGCACTAGGAAACTCACATTTTGAAGCCAGAAGAGCTATTTCTGTTTTTGTAAGTTCAGCATTCAGCACATTACAGGAGCAAAACAGATAGCCAAAACTGCATATTTCCACCTGAAACAACAGGGATCTCTATTTCCAAGTGACAGATGTTCTACAACAGTTGGTGACAAATGGGCTAATTTAGACTGATTTAACTAAAGTTCAGCCTGCTGACAATGGGGGACTTTTTTTAATGCAGCTGAAGAAGGCATTTCTGAATGCTAGGGCTGGCTGTTGCACACAAAACTAGAGAGGCCCTGGTGTGAACTGAACAGCACACCATGCGTGGTGCCTGCATCTCTGAGCCTCACACTGCCTTTTAGATGCTGAGATGGAAGAAAACAATGCCTAGCAAATTACCAAGGGAATTAGCCGATCTTTTAAATTTACTGTCTGAACATATGTCCACAGACTTTGGCCCAGAATCTTTGTTTCTAACTTCTGGCATCTAAACTCTTCCATTATGACATATGCCCTATGGTGAATTTGTCTTCTGAGATGATGAGCTCTCCATCACACATGCAGGAAGCTTTAGTGGCTCCTCTGCTAAGCCAGACAAGTCCATCCAAGCTTATGCCTTCAACCCTAACTTTTAAAGCATGTCCACTGAAGGGCCAGAAATAAATTATACAAAAGCTCTTAGGGCTTTTTTAAAAATGCAAAGATTAGGGGTATGATTCAGAAATTACAATGTAACAACTTCACTGTCTTCTATCTGGTAAATTATCTTGGGTTTTGTTCTCAACTGGCACATGAGGGCTGGCTCCAGGCTTCACCTTTCTGAGTATCATAATGCCTCTTCCTTGAGGAATCATGAGTAGGCATGTTAAAAACCACCAACAATTAAATCAGTTTTCTTTCTCCTTTTTTTTCCTTGCTTTTTTCTTTTTTTTCATATTCTCCTCTCCTCTCCACTCCTCTCCTCTCCTCTCTTCTCCTCTCCTCCCATTGAAGAAAACTTCTAGGCAAGTATCCTGATCACTGTTTTATGAGGGAACCTCATTAGGGTAAGTTCATTGATTGTATTTTGGTACTAAGGAAACAGCTGCCAGCACTAGATATTTAAGACAGTTTATCTGCCCAATTAATACTGGCAGATCAGTCCTGATGCCAGCAGCAGTACAGCATACTTTTCTACTGTGGAGGTGGCTTTTATCTGTGAATATATCCCTATAAGTTACTGGATTCTACTGCCTTTTACCTAAACACAGGCTAAAAATATTACCTAATTGTGCTCTATTCTTTAATTGACCTAGTTAACCAACTGCCACACACAGGCTATATATCCCTTCCCTCAAAAAAACCATGACCTTTTCTCAGAGCAGTGAGGCTTCTGTCTTGTCCATTCTTGAAGCGTTATGTCTACACAACAGTAGACACTGTGAATAGAGCACGTCTTCATCTATTAATAAAAAAAAAACTACTGAAACTTTGCTCACCTTGAATAATAAGTTCTTAGGAATGGTCCTTGATCCTCCAAACTGCCATAGAGTATGGAATAGGATGTGAAGTAGAGCATGACTGCATTGCAACTACTTACCCCCAAACAAACAAGCAAAATGATAAAACCACTACCACCACCACCACCATCACTACAACAACACTGACAAAAAGGGAGTTACTTACATTGAGTGAGGATCCCTGTTAAGGCATTTTTGAAGCTCTCCTTGGCTTGCTCCATTTCTTGCTCGTGAGCTGCCTTCTCGTTCATGAGCCGGCGGACGTGGCTGTTGGCCGACTGCACCATGGAATAGAACTGGTTTGCAGAGCGACGATTCACCTCGCCTCGCTCAATCCAGGTGAGCAGCACCGTGATGGCCTCGGAAAACTTGCTATCATCTAGAACAATCATAGCACAGGTTTCAAATTGCAGGCATAAATATCCTGCTGAGAACACATTTTCTGCTCCGTGTCACATTAAAATCACCATAAATCCTGCTTGCAGTATATCATTTTGGGCAACTTTTGTGTCCTTTGTTCTATCAGATGTAAGAAGCCAATACAGCCATGTAAAACTACATAAATCTTCCTTCAAGACTTGTCTTCTCCTCATTTAATAGCTTTCTCACAAAAAAAAAGCAGCCTCCCCCTCTCCCTGTGGCCCGAGTCTTCACTTTTGCAATGTGTCCCTTAAGCCATTCAGCGATACGGAATGACCTTACAGCAGGAGTGAGGAGACCTCTGTGGTACTGGACTCGTTGAGGAAATGAAATGTGTCTGTGTTAATCTGCTCAGCCAAAAGCTCAGTCTTGGAGCTTGGGCTCAGCCATACTTCTGTCAACAGATTTCACTAACATCATGTTGTTAATTAAGGAACAATGTTGAGGCTGAACAATTCCTCCTCAAAACACTGATTAATTACAAGGAACTGCTTTGAACAGACAATGCGCCTGCATTTGTTTTGTATTATTTGTTTTGTACTATTTGTTTTATGTTTCACATTACATATTTTTTTTCGCATACATATTTTTTTAAAGAATTCCAAATGAATCCAGGAAAACACCTAGACTACATCTTCATGTTTGCCATTCACGTAATGAAAGTTGTTTTTCTCTGCAGAAAGATTGCCAAAACTGAAGGCTAGATTTTGCACACTCCCTCCCCAGGCAATCTTCTTTCCTCTGACAGTGCTCTCAGCTTCCTCAAAAGACTCTAAGCACAGCATCCATTACACTTCAGGCTTCATCAGGATTAAGAGGAAACATTTCTTTTTAAGTCCCATTTAGACTGAACTGCAAGAAAATATTATTACAACAGTGTCTTCCTGTGGAACCATTTTTGTGCAATTCAACATCATTTTTTCACCAGGATTTTATTCTATAAAACTTCAATTTCCCAACAACTCATTTTAAACATCTCATCTAGTGCTTTTTGGTTATATTTCTGTACATATATTTTAGATGGTATGCACACCTTTCTGTAGGAGAAGGTATATGGTCATGGCAGGAAGATGTAGTGTAGTCATAACCAACAGACACTTAAAACAAAAACTGGAAAATACTAAACTCAGCCAACTGTGTTACAGGACACAGAAACATGTGGCACAGTTTTTCAGACTCTGCTTTCTATGTACAAAGAATAATGAAATACTGATTGTTAAATGATGATTTGGCTTTTATTCTGAATCAATAATCACTTCCTTAAAAGGCATATCTTTTAGAGTAGTCTAAAATACAGAGAGGACTAGTGACATGCTCTGTGCCCACAGCCTCTGAAGAAGAGATTTCTACATTGCCTGATCTTTAACATCTTATTAACTGAAACATGCTTTCAGCTACAGCAATAAGATTTGCTCTCCACAGCTGAATAGGCATGTTCACCCAAGATCCCTCAAGAAAAAAGCGCAGAATGACACATAACACATTCCCTGTGTACAATGGTGCATCTATTGTAAAACATTAACATGTGATTCATTAGCACCATTCATTAATTTTCACTGGGCAGGAAGAGTCAGATGGGCATCCTGTCATTACATATTGTCCCCTTGGATTAGACTCCACTTCTGAGCTTTGCTGGGTACGTATGCAGCAGGAATGTACTCAGTGGCTCTGACGAGTGAGGTTGGCTGAATATAGACCCAAAGAAACGCCAAATGTGAACAAGACTCATGCAAAGCCTCTTCACTGCAAGAAAACACAAGGATAAGGCTCTCCAAAAGAGTTGGGCAAAATCTTCAGCCTGCTGAGTTGCATGGGAACTGGATGTCAAAGATGCAATACAGCCAAGAACTCATCCCTGAAACACAATGTTCATTATAATTACACTAGTGAATAAGAATAACCTGTAATGGTTTCTGGCAATATTAGCATGTATCCATGCATGAGGAAAATCAGCAGCACAGAAATATCCTCCCTTTTCCTTGTTTTAGTCTCTCCCCAGCACTCATTTATGTGTTGTTTTGCTATAGAGCGTCTGTGAAAAAAAAACCACTCTCCCCTCATTTTGTTTTTATCAGGCACAGTGGGTGTCTGCAAGGGATGTTCGTAAACATATCATCCTTCTGCCACATAGATTCTACCCATTTAAACGGACACGCTGGAAACCTGTTTTCATCATACTGTACTTCCAGGAAGCTGCAGAGGTCTGTGGAACTGTTATAGTTAATTCACAGCTCTTCTCACAGAGCAGGAAAAAATCCTTTCATTGGTAAACATCAGCATCTTCATTGATTACATAATTAGAAGTTACATTCAAAAATGCTAGAGGGTAATATATGCACAACAGGAGCACATTAGTTAATAAAATCTTTTCTCTACAGTTTTAAAATTTATGTCACCTTAATTTCTAACTTTTATATTCTTGAGCTCACTCACTGACTGGTATAAGGTAACTCACCATGAATCTATTTCTTTCATCCAGAATACCTTCTTAGGAATGAGAGATTGCCTTAGATAATCAGATTTTTATATGAGATTGTTCATTTCTTTTTTAGTTAGTAGGTAAATAGTAGAAGAAATGCAGCAATGGAATCTAATTTAAACAGAGCGTGAACTGCCTTATGATTGCAGCCGTTTATTTAAAAAAATAAAACAAAACTCCTAATTCTGTTCAAAATTATTCCCTCGTGGTAGGATGCACATAATTATACACTGTTTAAAAACACACTCTTCAAATAAATTCCTTTATATAAGACATGTTCCCATATGTAATTGTTCTTTTAAAATAAGCATGTGGCAAATTATTTCCTACTCTTAGAGCTTCTTCCTCCTCTAAGTCACAGCATATTCTAAGCCAATAAGGTAGGTTTTTATCAGTCTGTTTTTGTTTGTTTAACAGTGAGGTGAACTGTGTCCCCCCAGAAGTGCCTGCTGCCCTCAAGCAGCTGCAAAGGGAGCCTGGGCTGGCCTGCTCCTGTGTCAACATCCCTGCAACAGGAACACATTTGTTTGGAGTAACCCCAACATTCCAGAAGGGCACCTGCTGCAAGCACCTGCACCCCTGCGTGTCCCCGTAAAGGACAGCTCTAACACAAGCTCTGACAACGTCGTGTCATTTGAAGATTGCCCATCCATCCAGGATGGCTTGCTGGGTCTCTGTCGATAGAGATTTCCAGGTGCTGCCAGACTCAATCACAGGGCACCAGAGATAAGATATTTCAAATTCCTCTTTTATCAACTACAGATATTTGACATTTAAATCCTAGCTCACAACTTAGATGGAATGAAATATAAAGAAAAGAAAATACGTCCCTAGAGCGGCCCAGAAAATTGTAACAGGAATATTTCTATGAAAAAAGGGAATAATTGTTGACAAATATTTTGCATTTTTCTGCTTGTAATTTGACCACCTCTAAACCACAACCAGAATAAACATTTAATTGAAAAAGCTGCGACAACAACTGCTACAGAATGGTATCCTGGGAAAAGGTGTTGGAAACAGAGGTTTTACTTTCAGCTCATGGAATTTCCCTGGTATAGCACAGGGTAGAATTCAGCTCAGAGTACCGTCAAATGTGACTATTTATCTCTCAGTGTTAAGCATCTCCATCAGGTGCTTTCACAACTTGGGTGATGGTGTTTAAGGTCTTAGCCATTAGAAAGGATATAGACTAATTCATCACTCTGAAGACAGGCATTCAAACACTCTTATTTCTATAATTTTTTTACATTTATAGATATATTGCAAATATAGCCAACTTGATATTTCTGTGTTTCAAGAGTGACATTGCATGCTGGATTTCTAACTAGGACAAGGTCAAACACTGGGCTACTGATTTAGCCTTGTTATTATCTTTTCAACCCTGGTCTTTCTAAATGTTTGAAAAGAATCTGAGATATTTCACACAACACTTGGAGCCTCTCTAAATCGCAGCAAATCTTATACATTGTCCTATGGACTATGGTGTTGTCCAGAGTCACCATACATTGTCTCTTTTCCCAAAATTTGCTCCCCTAATGCAACCTCCCAGGCTTGCAAGGACATGCTGAAAATACAGAGCTGTTGGTCTTTACACCAGTGACTACACTTAGAAAAGTCCTCTGCTGTTTGCCTATGTTTTGGGAAGCATTAATTATCTCACTGTTGTCAGCCCCTCTGTAAGATGGGTAGGGGCAGGTACACCTTTATGCCAAGTTCTGCCCTGACCAGCAGAAACCCAATTAACAAACACCCCCTGAAGATATTCTTGAGAGTACTGAGCAAGACCCTGCTGCAGGGCAGGCAGAGGAAGGACAAGAGTGGTGAGATATGTCTGTCCTTTTTTGCCTCTGATTAACAGACCTCCTCTGTCAGCTGTAGCAGTGCCATGGGAAGATGCGTTCCCTGCCTCAACCCACGCTCAGCACTACCCCTTTGCTCATGGTTACACCGTCCTCAGTTTGCCTGGAGCTGCTCAGCTGCTCAGACTCCAGTTCCAGTTTGTGAAACTGGGCCTAGTTCAAACAGGAAGGTGGCACAGCTCAGCTCAGAATGCAAACTTCTTCATTACGTATAACTGCAGCCAGGGGAGGAGGTACGGCCAAGGTTACTCTTAATCTGACTTCTGACTTGATAATTTATTAAACTATAACTAAGATTTTAAATTGCAAAGACTGAATTCAACACAAAAAAGAATAAACTTTAGGAGGTGACTGCTGTGGTTGAATCAGGTCAGAGAAAAGGTTCACTAACCTCTCTCATCAGCAGGCTCAGCCCAGCTCCCCCGTGCATCAGGAACAATTTTCTTCCCAGCACACACCACTTCTGGTGCCAAAATGACAACCTATTTTTCTCTTGGCTTAAGAGCTTCTTCTGTACAGAGTGCCTGCCAGTGACCTAGAAACACAACTCTTCAGTCTACTACCCTCACCTTCTTTTTTTTTCCTGCTCAAATCCCTTATATAATTGTGCCATGCATCACA